ATGTAAGATATTTATATATATATTTGCTATCTGTACATTTTTTTGTAAATATTTTGCACGGATTAAAAATGACAATTAATAACATTTTAACAATTTTGTATAAATATTTGCATGCTCACATGTATATGCACATTCATAAGTTAATTTTTGCCAAAAAAAGATGAAATAATTTCATTTATTTTTAGATACATATCTGTTCAGTATTCTTACCGCTCAGCTACCGGTACCTATGTTTACTTTTTCACGCCCGAAATCGCACACCTTCACACACAAACCGCGAACGAATCGTGTAAATCATTTTAACACCTTTGAGTGTTTTTTGTATTGTTCAATTTATAACAACTCAACTGTGCGAAAAGATAGGAAATGTTATCAAAATACTAAAATAAAAAATTGAATACAGTAACTCTGTGATAAATCGAATACAGTAACGGTTACTTCAGAGTAAGAAACCAGATTACGTAGAGGGAGCCTCAACGAGGTCTAAATTAATAATTTTCCTGAAAAATTTATCTTATTATTGTTAGATTTTTTTTACAATTTATCATCGGGAGATATTGCTGATTATTAATATTAGTTACACCCATCCATACATACCCATCGGTATGCAAGCCTGGAGTATCATGGGCATTAAATGCCATTAGTATTATATGCCATAGGTATAATATGCTCCACTTAAACTCATGGATTACTTATGAAAAATATATGTGGTTCAAAAAAGTGCAACATATACGTAGTATATCATATAGTACTATATGAAATATCAATTTTAACATATATGGTTATCATGGTGCAGTATTCTTAATCTCATTTCTATTTCTAGATTTTAAATTCTTAACTTCTGTAATGCCGGTTGAGTACATTGTATGTTTAAACTCTTCTAGTTTTATGATTATGATCAATGAAATTGCTGGGGCATTCGTATGATTGCTAAGGCTTTTAAGAATCTTTCACTAAACCTATTAATCTCTTCCATAATAAATATAATTTTGAAAACGATACGTATTCATATACTGTAAATAAATCAAAGACTATAAAGAATTTTTCTAAGAGCTATTGACTATTATTTGTTTAAGATTTATGTTAGAGTTGATTAAAGTGCCCCATAGGTATACTTATAATTCATAATGGCTTTTAAAAACCTTCATAAACTTTTTGTTTGTGGTGCAAACCCTGCTGAATTTGAGTCCAATCAATTTTTTTCATCTTAATATCTAATCAATGTATGTCTGCTTTAGTAAAGTTTTTGTAAGTTAAGCAAGTATTTTAATAAGTTTTTAGGTATTTATCAGAAAATTTTTTTTGGTAAATACATTTTAGAAATAATTATTTTAAAATAGCTTACAAATTTATTTATTAATAACAACTTCAATAAATTTATTCATTTTTGACAAATGATTTGATTTCTTCATAGAATAATGTAGTCAAGTAATTTTGTTCGACGAGCTCTAATATTTATCAAATTAATATGTGTACAAATAAAGAAACATTCATACATTCATAAAATATTCTCTAACCACATACTAGTTAACTTAGCCTGAAAATTTTGTTAGAGAAATCTTAACTCATGTGGTAAAGAAGATATGAAAACCTACTTGTGGTATGGTTGAACCAACATGATGAGTGGAGTAAGAATATTTTGACCTTGGATTTAGTTAAATCGGATTAAATCAAACAAATTATTTCTCTAAGTGGATAGACCAACATGGCTAAATCACACCACAGCACCTTAATACAAACACAATACAATGAAAAAATAGGTGACAATTTAGGTGCAATAACTGATCTATCTTAATAACTCAATTGCATCATTAGATATTGATATAAAACTGAATATGACTTCACCCACAAGTTTTCTTTAGATTTCGGCTTTTTGCAATAATCAGTACTAGACTTAGAATGTTAAAATGGTTTAGAATTTTGCTGATTCGTAAGAGTATTTTAATAAATTAAAATTTTAATATTATACCATATCCACCACGTGTAATAAATTAACTTTATAAATATAAGTTAGATGTATGTATTTAGAATATAATCTTAAAACTATACTATTCTACTATATTATATACTATTATACTTATTTAATATTTTTTATTTTAGTACTAATATTAACTAGAAACTCTGGTAAAGAAACATTATATACATTGTGGAAACTTGTCAACGTTCAAAACCATCTATATTCTATAACGTTTACGTTTAATAAAACAGTCAGTTTAGTTTTCAAGCAAAAACTGTATTTGAACTAAGTTCTACAAAATAAAACCAAAAAAAATATTACTTTCTAATATTATAATTTAAAAATATTTTATGAATATATAGTATTAAATGAAACTGCTACAATCTTAATATATTGTTTTTAATTAAGTGATTTGCTGGAAAACTTCGACTGAAAATAATTTCTCGTATATGCCCCCACCCCTTTATGGGAGTCATCTAACTCTTATTATAAATTATTTATTGACTTGTAGAAAAACTGCGAATAAAAATATTTTTTAAATCAGATATAATTCCTTTAAGTTCAATAAAACAACTTCGCCAAAAAATTGATTCTAGCATATCTCCCATCTCCTTAGCATACTTCTCTAACTATTATTTAAACAACTTCAGTGACTTATGAAAAAAGTCCGGCCTTAAATATTATTTAATACAATATATCTCCATTAACGCAATCCCGGCTACTTCACTATTTCTTGTTGTAATGCTGTTATACATAAAAATAGATATTAATTAATTAATAGTTATTAAAGTTTTATTAAGTATAGCATGAAGATGGAAATTAAAAACCAATGCCAACGATCAATAAAATTATGTCCAAAAATTACGCCCACAGATTTTACACTCAACGAATTTATTAAGGCAAAACAATTTTTATAGTAAAATATATCTACTATCGAGGGAAGACTGTAGCTTATCTGTGTAAATTCGCATATAATACGTAACTATAATAATGTTAATAGTATACTTTTATCAATTTCTATAGTAAAAAATTAGTTAATAATTTAAGCTCAGATACTCGTGCAATAAATTTAAGTTCTTTTTGTGTACTTTTGCCAAAATTAAATTAATTGATTAAATCAACAAATTTATAATTTAATATAAGCATTCCAATGTACGTATATATAGAAAATTCAAATTATTTTTGTATTTGTGCTTTTATTATTGATTATAGCTTTCTTAGGTAAAAAATGTGTGAAACTATGCATATATGAATATAATTTTCATCTGCTTTAATTTTATTTTTTGTTATTTGTATTTTTATGTTTTTTAAATTTTTTAGCAAATTTGCAAACAAACAAAAAACATGCAATTTTCTTATTGTTATTTAAGATGTTTTCGGTTATTGAT